CTGGCCCTGGGTGCCCAGAGCACTGTGCCCCGGACGGCAGCCAGCCAGGCGGCGCCTGTCGCGAGCCCGCCGAGGTGTGTGTCCTTGCTTAAAAATAACCAGCCCTGCCGTCCTCCTCCCTGGCAGCGAGTCGTCCTCCACCCCGGGAAATGGAACCACGCCCGAGGAGTGCCCGGCCCTGGCAGACAGCCCCACCACCCTCACGGAGGCCCTGCAGATGATCCACCCCATCCCTGCCGACTCCTGGAGAAACCTCATCGAACAGATAGGTGGGTAACCTGGCAGGTGTGGGTTCATTCGGTTGCTTCCCTGGGTTCTAAATGCTCCAGGGGAGAAACTGCCAGGTGTCCTTAGTGCTGCACCTGACCAGGCTAGCTTAGTAGGTGCGTGTGTGACCTGGCTGTGGAGACCTCCATTCCCTCTGTCCCTGTCACTTCTGCCAGGAAGGTGGGGTGCAGCAGCAGCAGGCAGGGGGCCTTCCTTGAGCTCCCCGCAGGGAGGAGCTGGGGATACCCAGAGAAAGTTCACACCCTGTCCTGAGAACTCCAGCATTTGCATTTTAAAATCACTGCTGGTGACTTCAGATGTGTTCTCCTAGCCTCAGTGTGAGAGTGGCACGGTTTCTCCTTGCTAGTCTGGGAATGGTGCTGGCTACTTAGGGTATATTCTTCGCTGGCGTTAGCTGGCTGTGTGCTCACTTAAATAACAGTTCTCGATTTGGAAGATTTGTTCCCGAAATGTATGGTTGTCCTCAGCCCCAAACCTCAGACGGACACAGAGCGTCTCCAGGATGGAAGTGGGAGACTGGCCTCAGGCAGCTTTTCTGGGTGCCCCTGGTCCCTGGTGTCCCACAGCCCAGCGGGAGGTACAGGAGCCCTGGCTGCCGTGGGTTCAGCCCAGCCATGTGGCTCCTTCCCTGAACTGTGTCCCTGGTGGCCCCCAGCATGTGTCAGGCTGGGGGACATAGTAGCTTTTCACTTTGTATATGAGGAAAGTCTGATCTGAAACTGATGCCAGCTAGCAAATCCTGGTTCGGAAAGACTCCCGGAGCCCTCACACTCAGTCTGGGATGGAGACTTTGATGTCTGCCTCTCAGCTGGGCTCCCTGGCCGCGGAGCCAGTTCTGATCCAAGAGCTGCAGGGCCAAGCGGCTTCTGCCACCTCCTCAGGCTTCCTCCCCAGGCAGCCTCTGCACAGGGTCCGTCCCCCTGCAGGTGACTGCAGTGTCTTCTGCTCCTGGGGCGCACAGATGTAGGGGACAGCTCGGCCCTGTCCCCTGCCATCTCGGCCACACTGGGGACTTCATGGGGTGCTTGGGGACTCTACAGCAGCCTGAAGGCTTTGGCCGTGAGTGACATGCTCCTCTGCCAGGTGGCAGGAAGAGACGACAGGCTCCTGAGGACACAGGGGAATGAAGGAGGGGGAAGTGGAATGAGTCGGGGCCATTGTGTAGCCCCCCAGGTTGGATTTTTACAGCAGTCACCACATTGGCTGCAGCCCTGGTGGGTCATAGACCTGGGTCATTTTGTTGGTACTCCTGTGAGTGTGCAAAATATATGTACAGTGGATGTTTGAATTTAAGATTTTCTTGCAGTAAATGATACATTGCCACGAATTCCCTCAAAATCCTCCGCCTCACTCTGAACACCCTCATCCTGTTGTCCTTGCTGCTTTCTTTGTTCTGTTTGAGACAGGGTTTTGCTATGTATTTCAGGCTGGTCTTGAACTCACTATGTAGCCCAGGCTGGCTTTGAACTTGCAGGGATCCTCTTGCCTCAGCCTCCCAAGTGCTAAGATTGCATTCTTGACTCTTTCTGAAGCCTGTCTGGAAGTGCTCTTCTCTAGACCGGAGGTGCGATCAAAAATGCAGTGACTACTGCTGTCTAGTGTCCCTGAACAGAGAGGCTGCTCCTAAAAACATCAGCGTAGCCTCCTCCATCGTACTCACTGGATCTGGCACCATGTGACTTCTGGCTCTTCCCCAAAGTCAAAATGACTGCAACAAGGCAACGTTTTGAATTGACTTCAGACACTGAGGCAACTATGACAGTGCGACTAATGACACTTATGAAAGAGAACGCCAGAGCTGCTCCAGAAAGTGGCAAGAAGAGAGGATGAGGATGTTCAAAGCGAGGGGAGGATTTTCAGGAGGATTTGTGGCAGTGTGTCTTGTAATAAAAAGAAAAGCTACCCATTCGCTGTATTTTTCAATCACATTGCCTGCGTGTGCATGTGTGTGCATTGTGCAAGTGTGTGTGTTGCTGCTGTCTCCAGAAACTAACATGATGCTTGGCACATAGATGTTGCTCACTCAACACAGTAGTAAAGGTTCTGCCCTTTACACGTTGCTATTTGCAGGATACAAAGGGGAAACCATTGTCTTTGTGACAAGGGATTTGGAAGGAGTCGGGTGTTGTATGAGGAGCTGGGGTCCCCATCCCGAAGGAGTGCAGCCATCCCCAAACAGGTCATTTTCCCAAGGGGAGGTGGCAGCCACATGCTCAGCTCTGCAAGCAGGAGATACCAAGGGCCAGCTGAACGGGAAAGTCACATTCCACACAAAGTTGTACCCACTGAATGTACAAAATATAAACTAGGGAAGGATAATATATCAGCTGTACATCAGGTAGAGGTTTCCTCGAATACTGTGCATTTCCTCCAGTAAATCTCTTTTCTGTGGTAATCAGAATTTAAAGCAAATAAAAATAAAAAGTTATGAAAAGTGGCCACACTGTATGTCATAACTCTTGGTAATCCCAGTAATCCCAGCAAAATCGGAGTTTAAATTATATTATAAATATATACTTTGAGGGGGAAGTAGGAAATTTTTAAAAATTCTAAAATGACTTGAATTGAGAGGCTTTGGCTAAAAGTGACAAAATATTCAGAAAAAAAGTGACCGTAACACCACCTGCCTCACAAGTGCAAGGACCCAAGTTCAATCCCCAGTACCAAAAAAAAAGTGACTGCAAGCCATAGCTGTGGTCTGTCTCAGTTAATGAGCCAAGAGGAAGGAAGATCCAAAGCTGGTGCATTTGCCTGAACAATCATCGGCAGCCCTTTCTTATTTCCCAGCTTCATTTGGGGGCCAGGGATTTAGCTCAGTGCCATCTGCCTTACAAGCGCAAGGTCTGGAGTTCGATACCTAGTACCAAAATGAAAAAGATCTCTGGTGAGAAAACCACCTTCATTTGGGCCTTGTGAGACAAGATGGCTGCTATTGCTCCAGGTATTGCACACTCAAGCAGCCATCCATAAAAGCAGGAAAGGTGGTTTGTCTTCCAGTGTCTACTGGGGACACGTTTTTGAGAAGCCCTTAGAAGATGTCCCCTTACTCTCTTTGGCCGTGTCTTTATCTGTTTCTCTTCTATAATAAAAATACCTTATACTGAATATCTTACTCTGTTTCATTTGCTGTAACAAAATTTCTAGGTCTGAGTATTTTATAGGGAAAAGAGGTTTATTTAGCTCATTGTTTGGAGGTCTGAGAGCATGGCACCAACATCCACTAAGTGCTGCTGGAGTCACTGACTGCCACACCATGTGGCAAATGGCATCACAGGAAAGGTTGCCTGGTGAGACAGGAGCCAGCTCACTCTTTCTAGAGCACAGAGCTGGTCCCACTCGGGCCAAACCCTGACCCCTGGGAAGCTGGGGGTGGAGGGAACAGAGGGGAGGTAGCCAACAGCATCTGCCACCACAGGATTTCAGAAATACTCTTTTTAGCCCAACTACCCACAAAGCTAATATTTTTGTCTTTCAGCATTTGCATCCCACTGAGAAACTGGAGATAGTATTTACCCAGGACTTGGTGGCTGTAGCACGCATTAGACATGTTTTTGAACCTAAACAAGTACGCTACGCCATGCCCAAGGCCTGGGATTGATCCCCACTGATGGGGGAAATCCTACAGGAGACATTTCTGTGAAGGCTGGAGACTGCGTTTTTGTTTTGTTTTGCTTTCTGGGACAGGCTCTCTCTATCTAGCCTAGGCTGGCCTTGAACTCACTGCAATCCTCCCGCCTCAGCTTCCTTGGTACTAGGAGTACAGGTGTGCACCACCATGCCTGCCTGGAGACTGCATTTTTGAAAGGTGTTCAGAAGATGTTTGAGTACCTGTTAGTTGGATGCACCGTGCTAAGCCCTGGGAAGTTAACCCAGGTCAACCTGCAGAAACCGCTGTAGCGTCAGAATCCCAGGGTAATAATTAGCTCTATGTCTATAGCTGTTCTCTCAAATGTCACAGTTGCGCTGACTTACGTGGTGACATGGGACCTGTCCTTATACATTTCAGCCTGGATCGCATTTAGCATATACTGATTTTCTTTTTCATTCCTTTGTCATTTGAACTCCGTGTTGGATTCTGCTGGATTGTGACATGGGATCTTAATTGTGTGGAGTCCCAGCAGTCCCCTACCCCCAGCCCAAAAGCTTTATGAAGTTGAGTTAGGGAAATTGGAAGCCAATTAATTTACAGGGCAGATTTACGAGGTTCTTGCTCAGTAGTGTAACTCATGAAGCCGAGTTTGGGATTTCAGAGGTAGCTGGTCTCTCTCTTTCCTGCCATTTAGATATATTTTTGTTGCTCCTTGGGGTCTTCGGCTGGATTAGACACTGATTTTCCCTTCAGCACGAAGATTTACAACTACTCCCATTTGGCAAATGAATATGCTTGAGTTTGAAGACTGAAATATTCAGGGCTGTGAAAAGATCCTTTTGGGGATATTAAAGCATAACTGGGACATTTCCATCAAGTCTGCATGTGCGGCAGTGAACATACCCAGTCGTGCATTCTGGTTTGGCCCATTGTGAGCACTGTGGGGTGTATCTGTGGAGTTGGATTGCCAGTGTTTTCAGGGGTGACTTCATTTGTTGGGGAAAACTGCACACACGCAGCTCTTTTCCCTAAAAAAGTAGAGGACAGCGGTGCTTTCTGTGACCTGGATCCTGCTGCTGACACGCGCCAGGCCTTTTCCTTTTCTTATTACAACTCTGATTTCAGGGCTCCTGTATCAGGAATACCGAGACAAATCCACTCTCCAAGAAATTGAAACCAGAAGGCAGCAGGACGCGGAAATCCAGAGCAATGAGGACGGGTCCCCAGCGGGCGAGGACACTCCCGAGGATGAGGAGGAAGACGAGGAGGAGGAGGAGCCGGCGAGCCCACCGGAGAGGAGGCCTCTGCCCCAGATCTGCCTGCTCAGCAACCCCCACTCGAGGTTCAACCTGTGGCAGGACCTGCCTGAGATCCGGAGCAGCGGCGTGCTGGAGATCCTACAGCCGGAGGAGGTCAGACTGCAGGAGGTAGGCGCTGCGGGGCTTCTTGCTCATCAGGGCAGGAGCAGGAGGAAACCCCGGGCGGAGAGGACAGGGGTGAGGGGCCCCCTGGCACCGGAAGAATCGCTCGCAGGGTTCATCCAAGAAATAAGCATTATAGTATTTCCCAGGCGGCGGCAGCCACCTGGTTTCCTTTCAGGCATCTCCCTGGCAATGTTGAGTGTGCAAAGGGTTGCTACTTTGTTGGGTGGGAAGCCTGTCTTTGCTGCTGTGGGAATTTCCACACGCGTGTGGCACTGGGCACTAGGTGAGGTTGGACTCGTGACAGTGACATTGCTGGCAGGCGCCTGCAGGTGACCAAACTCTGCTGTTTCTTTTCACTCAAGTCTCATCCCACAAGTTTAAATTGGAGCCATTTGAACTTTCCGTGGGGAAAGACTTGGAAGGAGAACCTCGGCCTAGCCACTCCCTCCTGAAATGGTGCAGAAACCGGGGTCCCGCGCGGGTCGCCCCTCTGTTTGGTGGACATCAGCTGACATGGGGCAGGCAGAAGCCAAGTCACCGGCCGAGGGCTCACTGCTGGCAGGGGACAGTCCCTAAAACCAGCAGGGACAGAAGTGAGTGGCTGAAACATCTGAGTATTCGAGTTGAGCAGAGTACTTGAGTGTCTGGGAAATTGTGCTGCTTAGAGAGATAAGTATGGTCCACAATGAGGAGAGAGGGTCAGAGGCTGGGGATATGCGCGCATGCGTTTGTGCGCATGCGTTTGTGTGCGTGCGTGCGTGTTGGGAATTTCTGTGCTGGGATTGGAACCCAGGGTCTAGTGCATGCTGAGCATGCGCTCCTCCATTGAGTCACGCCCCAACCGTGGAGCTGCATCATCTCTGAGCTGACAGCATCCTCCCACTCTGACCTTCCATATTCATTCAGCCCAAGCTGATTCTTGGTCCCAACTTCTCAGAGGCTCCAGAGGCCCTGCCTTCCCTAGTCCTCTTTCCTGCCTTGCTATATTCCTTAGAAACCTTTGCTCCTCTCCTTTATTTTTATTTTTCAAAAGCCCGGCAACTAGTTGGAAGGCAGAGGTAGGAGGATCACTTGAGCTCAGCAGTTCAAAGCCAGCCTGGGCAACACTGCAAGAACCTCATCTCTTAAAAAATAAATAAATGGCCAGGTGTGGTGGTGCACACCTGTAATCCTGGCACTTGGAGGGCTGAGGCAGGAGGTTCACTCCAAATCGCAAGTTAGCCTGGGCTATGTAGTGAGTTCAAAGCCAGTTTGACCTGCATAGCAAGATCCTGTCTCAAAGTAAAACAGAACCAATAAATAATGCGTGAATAATCAATGAAAAGCAAGACAGCAGACTCTCACCATTAATTATCAAGACTGAGAAAAGCTCGCAGCTCTGCGTCTTCCAACCCAGACTCAGGTTTTCCAACACTCTTGCTGCTAAGGAAATCTAGGCTCCGTAAATCCAGATTTTTAAACGCCACCCCCTACCCAGGGTTCACCTGGGGGTCCCGCCCAGGAGAGTCAGGAAAATGTTTCCATTCTCGCACCCTCGTAACTCATGAGCAGTGATTTGTAAATGACGGCATCACGAGTTTGCTTTTGCTTTTTCAAATGAAATTTCTGGCATAGAGCTTTGAGATAAACCCTAACACACAGAGCTTAAGGACATGGCGTGAAACACTGCCAACACCCGTGGAGCTAAAAGCAGAGAAGGAAGGGTCTCCTCCATGTCACACAGAAAAATAGAGAAAACGGTGTGAAATAAGGCAAGAGAGGGCCGGGGATTTAGCTCTGTGGTGCTGCCGCCTGCCTCGTAAGCACAAGGTCCTGAGTTTGATCCCCAATACCAAAATAAGAAACAGAAATAAGGCAAAAGAGTTAGTAAGAGTGATAAATGTGAGTCGCTGAGACTCCTCTGAGGTCTGCAGTGGGCCTGAAAGGTAAACCCGCTGAGCAGACAGTGGAGTCAGGGACAGAAACATTAACAAGGTCAGTAGAGGCCTTTGGGCTAGGCATGGGTGCCCTCTACTTTGACAAAGGTTCTGCCTTATTTTTAAACGTTTTGAAACTTCCTAAGTAACTCAGTATGCTTTGTTTTTTAAAAATGTGACAGCGCTGATGTGTCCCACCCTTCCTCTGACCATAGAGACCAGTTCTGTCTGATTTCTTTGTCCCGATAGAGCACAGCCATTAGACGCTGCCTGCTTTTGAAGTCTAGACACTGATGGAGACTCGAAGTGCAAACTCCTCAGAGATCATTATGATGTTTTCCCCCAGTATTTCACACTGGTTTTAGCCCAGTGTGGTGGTGCACATGTGTAATCCCAGCATTCGGGAGGCTGAGGCAGGAGGATCATGAGTTCCAGGCCAGCCTGGGCTACATAGTGAGTTCGGCTTGGGTTACATAATAAGAGCCTGTCTCAAAAGGAAAGAGAGAGAGAGAGAGAGAGAGAGAGAGAGAGAGAGAGAGAGAGAGAGAGAGAGAGACTATTCAACAGCAGTTTGGTTTGGGTTATGGTTTTTATTTATTTATTTGTGCGGCGGTATGGTTTTTAGCAACTTGCCTTTACTGGGTTCTTCAGAGTATTCAGCTTAGTGTTTATAAACTTGCATTGAAATCCACTGGTTTTTAGCAGAAAACATCATACTTTCATCAGAGGTACAAGTGGCTTGCGTCCGCTCCACGAGGGGCACAGCTGTTGGAAAGTGGGGAGAGATGAGTTGCCCAGTCACCACCCAGAGCAGGGGCGCCTCAGACCCTGGCCCTGCTCAAGGTGGCAGAGGACACAGTTGGGCTGATCAGGAAATGGAGCGCAGCTGCTCAGGGAGCACGAGTCTGTACACTGAGGCTGCGACAGGGCCTGGCAGTGGGATCTCAGGCAGAATGAAGCTCATTTTTCATACGGAGCGATCCCGCCAGATTGCCATTCAGAAGGTAGCCCAGGCCGGGCACCCCTAACAACCCCAAATACCCCCAAAGCAGAGCCCTTTTGCCTGCTGCCATGACTGCAGAACTGGTAAATTCTACACCATGAAACTGTTTCAAGTATAAAATTATTTAAAATATTTTAAGTAAAATTACCTTCAGACTGTGTGTCCAAGAGCCATAAACAAATTCCCCGGCTCACCCAGGTACCCTGCCACAGTATCTCATTATGTGCATGCGGAAGGATCTCCCAGAACCTGAAATGGAAACACTTCTGTCCCAGGCCTCTTACATAAGGGACACTCGGGATTCCTCCCACCCTGCCCCAGCCTGTCATCCATTCCTCATTCCCTCCGATCCTTCCTCGGAGGAGGCGGAGATCTCAGGCTTTCCCTGGCTGAACTGGAGGACTTGTAAATGTTTCCATGAGTTTATTCGTGCTTTCCTTTTCTTAATCAGACAGCCATTCTATTTTTGCCCAGTTCTTTTCTATTGGGCCATGTGTGTCAATCTTAATTCATTAGCAGCTTTTTATATTGTTTTTGTTTTGTTTTGTTTTTGTTTTTGTTTTTGGTTTTTTTGAGACAGGGTCTCACTATGTAGTTGAGACTGATCTGGAACTCACTATGTAGCCCAGGGTGGTCTCGAACTCACAGTGATCCTCCTGCCTCAGCCTCCCGAGTGCTGGGATTACAGGCGTGCGCCACCATGCCCAGCTCATTAGCAGCTTTTTAAACACTCTGGATATTAATTCTCTTTCATGTCTTCAGGCATTTTCTCCCACAGTGTGGAAATGGGGCAGTGACAGGGCATGAGGTTATCTCACAGGCAGCAGTGCCCAACTGGCTGGGTTCCGATTCTCAGCTCTGCCGCTTCTCAGCTGTGTGATGTTGACTGGGCAAATCACACAACTTCTCTGTGCTTCAGTTGCTTTATCTGTAAGGTAGAGGTGTCTCACTCCACTTTCTGTTGTTAATCTGTGGTACCTGAGACTGGGTAATTTATAAAAAGAGGAGGCTGTTCAGACCATGGTTCTGGAGGCTGGGAAGTCCTTTCATGTATTTAAGCCGACATCCAGGTGCTGTCTTAGATCAGGGAGACAGAGCCCCAGGGGATGGGTCACGGTTAGTGGTCATGGCAACTGTGAGGTCGCAGAGTCAGGGGCAGGGCAGTGGGCATCACCACGTGCCCTGTTCTTGGACTGGGCCAAGCCGGGCAAGAAGAGCTGGTGGGCTGCAAGTGTCACCACCACTGGACTCTGGCCCCTCTCAAGCTGCGCTGCCCTCACCCCCATGCCCGTGGCCCCTGGGCACTGAACACCACCAAAAATGGGCTGTATCCTGTCTTAGTCACTTTCTTCATCACTGGGGCAAAATCCCTACCACTGACTGCTTAGGGAAAAAAAGGTTTATTTTGGCTCACAGCTTGGAGGTTTCAGTGTGAGATAGGCCGGCTCCAAGGCAGGGTGGCATGGCAGAGGGCCTTGGCAGAGGAGAGCTGCTCAGGGCATGGTATACAGGAAGCAGAGAGGCAAGGGAGGAGCCAGGAGAGAGATAAACCCTTCCAGGCCACGCCCCAGTGCCCCACCTCGTCTGACCACAGCGAGTCAGCCTTGATCCCCAATAACCCGGTCACTTTCCAAAAACCCTGCCTGTGAGCGCATGACGCCCTTGGGGACGTCTAGATATAAACCGCATGTTGAGCCATAAAGAAAAGCCTATTTAAATTTTATTGAAATTTTAGAGACCATATCTCACCACAGTGAAATGAAACAAGAAAAACAGATATAAACACCATAAAACCTTCAAGTCAGAAATGTTTCAGATGCTCCAAACCTTGAGGATAAGAATAAATTTTATAACCATAGACTATATCCAAGATGATGAAGGTGCTCCATTTAAAGTCCCATAGAATGGTGCCAACGCTACCTTTAAATAAAAAGGCACAACCTTTCATGCTTTAATTGTTAAGTGAGGAATAAATACAAAATCAGATGAGCTCCTCAGATGTAGAGAAGACACCCAAAAAACACACTCCAAGGACAGCGGTTAGGGCAGAGACCCAAGAAGAGGCTGTGCAAGACTTGAGGAGATGAGCAATTTTCTAAAAAATACAAGCTCCCCAAAACAGACTCAAAAACAAAAACTTCAGGTGGTTATGAGGGCACACAGCTGTAGAACCAGCCACTGGGAAGGATGAGGCAGGAGGAGTCCCTGAGTCCAGGAATTCAAGACCAGCCTGAGTGACATGGCAAGACCCCGTGTCTTTAAATTAAATAAGTCTAAAACTCAAAATGTGAAAGGGGCCTGGGATTTAGCTCAGTGGTTTAACTCAGGACCCGAGTTCAATCCCCGGTACCAAAAAAAGTTAAAAACACAGAAGTATAGCAATATCCAAAACAATTACCAACACCTGCCGGACACAAGGGGGTACTGAAGGTTTAATTCCACTCAGTTCCACCGGCCAGCTTACCCCAGGATGCTGGAGCAGAAGTCAGAGAACAGATATCTTACTGACCAGGCACCTCTGTCAGAACTCTCGGACTCTCGGCCCTGCTTTCTGGGGTGAGGGCGACGGCAGCTGTGGACAGCAGGGGAAGGTGTGCAGGGGCTGTGCTCTGGACAAACTTTTCACAAACATGGGTGGCCCGCAGGGGATCAGATTACTGATCCCCGGTCCAAGGCATGGGATAGAGAGAAATCTGCAAATTGTTTGAAGGTAGAAAATTTGATAGTCAAGTCTGATCATCACAGCACATAAAGTGCAAATTTTAAAAAATTCACAATATAGTTGAAGACTCGTGTGTGTGTGTGTGTGTGCATGTGGTTAAAAAATAGTTTTTCTCTCTGTGATTAGTAGAACTGAGAGATATAAGATCATAAAGAATATAGAAGAATTGACCACCACTAACCAAATGGAACTCATTGATTCCTGCAGCCTACACCACCCAGCAGTAGCAGAAGTCCACGTGGAAGAGTCACCAAGACAGGCCGCTAGCACCCTGAACAATGTATGAGATTGAAATCATACAAAATACATTTTATGATCTTAAGGAAATTAAACTAGAAATCAGTAACAAAGAGAACAAGAAAATGGCTAAGGGTGCAGGTCAGAGTGCTTGCCTAGAATGTACAAGATCCAATCCTCAGCATGAGAGAGATGGTGGTGTGGGGGCGGGCAGGCAGAGAAAGGCGGAAAATATCCAAATACCTGGGAAATAAAACAGTTCAGTTGTAAAATGATCCCTAGGTCAGAGGACTCTCAAGGAGAGTTACAAATATTCTTAAATGGCAAAAAATGAATCTGCAACATACTAAAATTAGTGGGATGCTGCCAAAACAAGTGTTTAGAAGGAAATTGATAGCATTCTGCTTATTTAAGAAAGAGGAAGTTCACAAATCAAGATTTAAGTTTTCATGGTAGAACTAGTAAGGATGAGAAAGGTAAAAATCAAAGCCAGCACTTGAGAGAAATAATAAAAGAGCAAAATTTAAGAGACAAAAATTAATGAAACCAAAAGCTGGTTCTTTAAAGAGATCAATAAACTATAACTTGCTACCAAAATTGACAAAAAGAAGAGAAGATAAAAATTACCAATATTAGAGTAAAAAAGGAGACATGACAGGCCTCACAGACATTAAGAAGATTATAAGGAAACAACTATGAACAACTGTGCATGCAAAATACTGACAACTTGATCCAGGCATGCCTGTAACCCCAGCACTCAGGAGGCTGAGTCAGGAGGATAGCCATGAGTTCAAGGCCAGCCTGAAGTACACAGTGAGACCCTCAAAAAACAAACAACAACAACCAATGTACCAATCGCTCAGCGACAAACTACCACAATTCACTCAAAAAATGTAATAGGTAACCTGAATAGTCCAATCAAAGCAATTGAAGTCATACTTAAGACCTTTCAAAAACTACCATCCCCTCAGGCCTATATAGTTTTACTAGTGAAATTTGCCAACCATATAAAGTAGAAAAAGTAGAACTCCTGCCCAACATTTTCCAAAAAGTAGAAAGAATACTTTGCAACTCTGTGAGGCTGGATCTCATGCAAAAATTTGAGAACTACAGCAGAGAAATAGAAAACTGCAGATGAATGTTCTTCAGGGTGTGTACATATCCTGAACGGCATATTAGCAATTAAAATACAGCAACATATGAAAAGAATAATATATCATGGCTAAATGAGGCTCATCCTGAGAATGTAAGCTTAGTGGAATATTTAAAAATCAACTTAATCCACCACACTGAACAGTATAAAGAAGGAAAACCACGTGAAAGCTACAATTGATGCAGAAAAAGCATTTGAAAATTTCAATGTCTAATGATTATTAAAAGTTTCAGCAGCCGGGCGTGGTGGCGCAAGCCTGTAATCCCAGCACTCGGGAGGCTGAGGCAGGAGGATCCCTGTGAGTTCGAGACCAGCCTGGGCTACATAGTGAGTTCCAGGTCAGTCTCAATTATATAATGAGACCCTGTCTCAAAAACAAAATTTCAGCAAACGAGTAGTAGAAAGGAAATTGCTCAAGAAGGATCTATTATTAAAAACTCTATAGGGGCTGGGGATTTAGCTCAGTGGTTCCGCTTTCTGCCTCAGAAGAACAAGGTCCACAGTTAGATCCCCGGTACAAAACAAAACCCTATAGGTAGCATTGCACCTAACAGAGGCTAAAGGCTCTCCCCTAAGACTGCAGACAAAAAGGCAAAGGCACAACGATGGAGAAAGGGTGGTCTTCCTGGCCTGTGTTGAAAATAGTTGAATGTATGCAAAAAAGCTTAACCTCATCCCAAACCTCATGCTGTATACAAAAATTAACTCAAAATGGATCATAGAAATACCTGTAAAGTGCAGAAGTTGAAAACTTTTAGAAGAGAACATAAGAAAAAAATCTTCGTAACCTGAGGTTAAGCAAAGCATTCTCAGATACAACACCAAATGGGTGATGCATAAAAAAAAAAACACTGGTGACTCGAACTTGATCAAAGTTAAAAACTTTTGCTGTTCAAAAGAGACCATTAACTGCCTGGTAAGCACAAGGTCCTGAGTTTGATTTCTGGCACACACACACACACACACACACACACACACACACAGACCATTAAGAGAATGAGAAGAAGTTTTAGACTTTTTGAAAAAAACATTTCTAGTCACTTGTCTCACAAGACACATCCAGGATATATACAAATCTCAGCAGGAAAATTTATAATGTAAAAATGGATAAAAGACAAACAGAAGCCAGGCGTGGTG